ACCCCCATTGTCCTGAACAACTTTTGTCTGAACCATTTTTTTGTATTTGGCTTACTTACGGAGTTATTTGCGTGGATGGATTAAAATGGCCCACCCTGTATATACGACAGCTTTATGTACAAGAGTTTTATAGAAATAGTGTACAAGTTTTTTCATAGTTCTTTAGTCCCACTTGGTGCCATTTCCTGATATCAAATTTTTTTGTAAGAAGTATATAGGATAGCTTTTTTTAAAAATTTTAATATATATGACAGATTTTTTTGAAAGGTTTAATATATACGACAATTTTTTTGAAAAGTAAAACAATACTGTTTTGTTTTAGTTGAGACAAGAACGTGTACTTGGCGCCTTTTTTTTACCTTTTATACTTATCGTAAAATAAGTAAAATATTTATCATAATATAATTGTATGTACATATGATACGATATAAATTTAACGATTAATGTTCATAAAATATAATGTGTTTTATTGGAAATATTATTACATTATTTTATTTTGATGATGATGGACCTGCCTCATTAATATCTGGAACATATAGTGTTAAATTACTTATTTTTTTGTAGGACTAATAGTGTATAATATTGTTGTGCGTCGCTGAATCTTCGCCCGGGGATGCGCTCGTTCGGGAAGCTGCATCGCATGAGCCGCGAACAGAGTTTGAGAAGCGTTGCCTAGCAACTAATAAACTAACTGACAGAAGAAGAGCCTGGTCCTCAGCGCTGAGAGGACGTGCCTCGAGCGTTTGTCCTTTTTATAAACGGTGTAACGATGCAGCCCGCTGCATCATTACGGCTACGGACCGTCCATCGTCCGTAGCCCACCAAGGGCGCATCGCGCGCCGATAAATTTCCTATCAAAAACAGCGGTGGTCAACCGCCGAAAATCCCCCACACCCGACCGTTCCGAAATTCCGTATTGTGGGGGACTCGCCGCCGAAACCGCCGATGCTTGCCGATTCGAAATCATTCGGCCGCCAGCCGGGTATAAAAGAGGCCCGGCTGAACGTCTTCTCACCAGACTCCGTTCGCTGATCGACAGCGAACATCCCTCTACGAGTGTCCTCGTAGTCCTCAACCGAGCATACTCGGTTTTTCTTTATACCTGTTCCAGCACACGAGTAT